AGAGAATAGGCAGCCTATTAGGACTGGTGAATGCAAATCTTTTAATCCAAACCTTACCTTGAACAAATTGGAAGATGGATTCCGAATCTTTGCATTTGATGAGTTTCTAAATGAGATCCCAGCCTGCAGATCTATTCACGCTGGACAGCAACCATCACTCCAGACAGTATTTTTAGAACCTCATATTGTGCGCGCCGGCCAAAACAACGCTGAGATACGATTATCAATCTTATCAGTAGTAAATGATCATCAGGATCGAAAACTACTTCGAATGAACTTCGATAACCCTAACATCCATCCTACTTTCCCTAATGCTCTTCTGGGTGGATCACTTTATATCTTGCAACATTGCCCCAAAAATCAGCCTCTTCTAATCTGTGCATCGTCTGATTTCCTATTACGAACTTTGGTCAAAGACCGGGTTCGATTCAAGGTGGAAATTTTGAACTCCTCATTTGAATTATTTCAGGCTGTGTTTGCAGCGCTGAAGGAACATTCTGCCAAAATTCAATTCAAGAAAGTTGATTCAAACCCTGCCAGACTCATACTGACTTCAGTAACCCCGAACGAAGTTGAACTTGACACCGAGATTGATTTGATGTTCACGTGTCCTGGAATTCTATTGTCTGGCGGCTCACAACGTCTTTTCACGAAAACCATCAACAATCTCGTTCCTGTACCTCCTCGAAAAACAACATTGATTAATCTGGAGCGGGTCCGCTATGCTATTGAAGACCACTCCAATTTCTCTCCCACGGAAGTTATGATCTGGAAATCTATCCGCTCAACCACCTTGCAACGATTGACTCGCGAATTTTTCTGGAAATGTTTACACAACATTTTCCGAGTTGGTGAATTTTGGGATCATATATGAAATCTTTGGACGGTGCAACATCTGTAAAGTGCCAGAGACCCTTGAACACATTGCGTTGGAATGTGATGCTCCTGAACAATGTCTAATTTGGGACCTGACTTGTAAACTTTGGTCTCAAAAATACCCCGATTGGCCAAAATTGAGTTGGGGCTTGATTTTGGGCTGCAATCGAAGCTCAATTTAAAACAGCCAAAGGAGTTATTATACCTGAGAAAGGCCGCTTATTTGCCATTTTAGTTTCGGTGGCCTGGCATGAAATCTGGCGGCTCCGAGTGGACCGAGTCTTATAGCTGTTTCCGAAAACCTTGAGACAGACTTTTATTTTGCCAGTGCCGAAAATTTTGATGGCTGCTAAGGATTGCCCGTTTGGGTGTTGCCGAGCCTAACCGAGGACAGCCGAAGCGGTTCGCCAGAATTTATCACTCCGCTCAGTTTTGCCTAGCCGCCCTTCGCGTCAGCCGATGCGCCTTCCCTCAGCTCTTTTGCAACTGGACTTTCCGGGCAGAGCACATTGAGATTGCATTCTGTGTAGACGCCGCAGAATTTTTGGCCGCTGGCAGATGTCTAAATATAGCTGATCCAACGCCAGATCTGGTAATCCTTAGCAGCCATCAAAATTTTCGGTGCTGGCAAAATAAAAAGTCTGTCTCAAGGTTTTCGGAAACAGCTATAAGACTCGGTCCACTCGGAGCCGCCAGATTTCATGCCAGGCCACCGAAACTAAAATGGCAAATAAGCGGCCTTTCTCAGGTATAATAACTCCTTTGGCTGTTTTAAATTGAGCTTCGATTGCAGCCCAAAATCAAGCCCCAACTCAATTTTGGCCAATCGGGGTATTTTTGAGACCAAAGTTTACAAGTCAGGTCCCAAATTAGACATTGTTCAGGAGCATCACATTCCAACGCAATGTGTTCAAGGGTCTCTGGCACTTTACAGATGTTGCACCGTCCAAAGATTTCATATATGATCCCAAAATTCACCAACTCGGAAAATGTTGTGTAAACATTTCCAGAAAAATTCGCGAGTCAATCGTTGCAAGGTGGTTGAGCGGATAGATTTCCAGATCATAACTTCCGTGGGAGAGAAATTGGAGTGGTCTTCAATAGCATAGCGGACCCGCTCCAGATTAATCAATGTTGTTTTTCGAGGAGGTACACTGAAAGAAGCTCTTTCGGTAACTGTTCCGAAAGACCTTCTTTCTGTGCAACCAGATTGGGATCCTGAAAGTGCCTTTGTCCACACTCCTTTCATTCAACTCTTATTTAGGGAATTTCAATCTGCATCGAAAGGAGGGCAGATTGTAGCTAATTTCATCACACTTTTAGGGTAGATTAATACAATCACTTTTCATCTACTTTGATTTGAATCCTGATTTAGCCGCTTTCGGTATACCTTTTAAGGTAGGTTGAAATTTTACTATTGACGGTGTGAGTGGGTGCAACATCCTCATTGTCAGATTTGTTGTCCTGGGCTGCAGCTGCAGCATCGCGGTCTGCCTGGGCCCCATCCTCGATTTCTGACTCCGATTCCGGCTCGGATTCCGAAGAGTTTTCTTCATCCTCGCGGCACATTTTATCAAGCTCAATACAGCAGCACGTGTACATGGCCTTGGTAATGTAAAGCACAGCCTCGCCTCGCTTGCTATGGTCGCGCACACAGTGTCCGATCTTTTGTACGAGCGACAAAAAGGTACGTGGCCGCATCCACAGCAAGACTTGCATGATCACTCCTGCAGGTAGGTAAATTATTTCCTCTTATTGCGGGCACATTTTCTGCACTCACAAGACCCAAGCCATCAGTCGCTGGCACCCCTCGCATTGTACCATCGCTTAACCCATTTTGAATGATTATTTTGCGTGTGTCCTCGATATCCTTGTGATAGAACTCGAAAATCTTGACATCTATTCCTTCAGGCACGTTATCTCGCAGAAAATCTTGAATCTTCTCTGTGTCCTGGCGCCTGTTGACATAGAACAAGGTCTGTGCAAAGTCTTCGGGCTTTTCAAAGTCCTCTGGGAAAAGGGTGATAAGGTCGCCAAATGATTCGGGCTCCTGCTGTAGTATGCGGACTGAGAGCCATACATTCAGCTTCTCATTCAATACTTGGACCCGTGCGGTGTCGTCTTGCAGGGCAAGACACCTCATAATGTCTTTTATAACATCATGAGGAGCGGTTGCCGTTGCGGTAAGGATTGGGGTACCGGTCGGCAGGCGAGCTGCAAGCTGGACAATTTTGCGGTATTCAGGTCTGAAATCATCTCCTCCCCATTCGCAGATACAGTGGGCCTCGTCTATTACCAAGGCGATAATGTTGTCAGTGGGTAAGATATTGTTTAGGACCTTCGCATGAAACTGGGTGCTAAGCGCCATTTCTGGCCCTACAAGACCGACGCGAAACTTGTTATTACCCAAGTCCTGGGTAATATGAAGCATAAGATGTCGCATGATATTTGAATTCAGTCTAGTTGCGCACCGTAAGCAGCTCCTCGCTCTTCAACATGATCGCAGCTGCTGGTATGCCCTTTTCATTCAAAGTCTTCGCTTGAGCTTCCAGCAGCCCCACGAGAGGTCCGACAAGGAGAGTGGTCTTCTGGTAGTCTGCCATAGTATTTCCAGGCTGCCAGTGGTAGAATAATGCATACCAGAAGGCAATTGTCTTGCCCCCTCCAGTCGGTACATCCAGGAAAGTACTGATCTCTCTGAGAATATTTCGACCGGTCTCCTCCTGGTGCGGATGGAGGGAGGTAATGCCAAATACATTGCAAAGGGTTTGCACTGCGATTTTGAGGCGCTCGGGGTCTGGTATCGCGACGGGAGTGAAGGGCATGTTTTTACCCCTATCAGAAAGATTGGCCCCGTACCCTTTCAGTTCTCAACATCTCAAAATTCTGAGAACATACGAGTTCTTAGAATTAAATTCTCTACAGAACTGTCTCTGACAATTTTCGAAAGGAGGAAGTCGGTCGTCGATTTTTGTCGAAATTTCTCTAAGTTTTTTAATGAGCCTTGGCAACTTCCGACTGTACTAAAACGCGTGATTATCTTCCAGTCCCTATCCATCACTGATCGAACGACTGTCTTCGATCTCTTGAGGATTGGACTGGTTTGAGTCTAGTATGCGCGCATACAAGACATCAAAGATCGCGCACACGGGCATCACGAGCTATGTCCAAAATCTCACGAGAGCTGTCTAAAGTTGATTGGCACGACGTATTTCATGCCCTCTTTGTTAATAAATACGCAAATCACCATGCCCATGAATTCCTACATAGCTTCTTCACCATGTAACATTACGGGCAGGTACTTCACAATGTATTCCATTCTTAAAGTTATTGATTTATTCACATCTCGCGGTCTCATGGCTCGCGTAGTCACGTCCACAAGAGCTACGCGACATCACAAGATTAAAAGATGGCACGTGAAATGTGCTTTTGCTGATGAGGTTGATTCAAGCCAAGAAACACTTGGTCGGTGCCAGTGGATGGTCCCCACCTGGTTCAGATGTTTTTCCCTTTCGGAAAGTCAAACTGGAGCAGTCTGTTCGAATCAGGCTCAAGTCATGGACGGTCGACTGTGCAATTGTTTTTGTCATTTTTCAACCAAAAAAGTGTCGGGTACATTGAGGTTGAGCTGAAGATAAGAAAGGCTTGGTGGTGGATGGTCCACGCTTGCAGGAAGTTTGCAAAATGTTTACGTACTGCGCAGGAGGTGCCTGTTCAAATCAGGCCCGAGCCATGTATTGTGGTCAACGGTCTATTTTTTACCTTCACCCCAGAAACTGTCGGTATTATATGTTGAGGTTGAGTTATAGGTAAGAAAGGCTCGGTGGCGGATGCATCAGCAAAACCTGATTTTTCCTGTAGTGCTATGTAGTACTCTGTAGCCCTCCATAGTTGAGTATACACTATGTAGTGCTATGTAGTGCTACAGAGATATGGACCTGCACTACAAGAGCCTCAGGGTTTGCCGATGTGGTCCACGTCTGCTCCTCATTGTGTGTCTTGAAATGTAAGCAGACACAGCCTGTTTAAATCAGGCCCGAGCCATGTATCGTGGTCAACGGTCTATTTTTTACTTTCAACAAAGAAACTGTTAGGTATATCAAGGTTGAGTTGTAGGTAAGAAAGGCTCGGTGGTGGATGGTCAACACCTGCAGAAAGTTCACATTCTGGTTGTGAAACCTTGCGGAGCAGGAAGAGCCTGTTCGAATCAGGCCCGAGCCCATAAGTGATCATTGACTCTTGTTTTTGTACTTTAAACCAAGAAATTGTTTGGTATATTTAGCTTGAGTTGCAGATAGGAAAGGCTTGGTGGTGGATGGTCCACATCTGTTTCTCATGCCGATATATCTTTCCAATGTAAGCAGAAGCAGCCTGTTCGAATCAGGCCCGAGCCATATAATAGCCAGAGTTAGCTTTTTTTTTTTTGCAAAATTGCAAAACTGCTTGGTATATCGAGCTCGAAATAGAGGGAAGAAAGGCTGGGTGGTGGATGGTTCACATCTGCTCCTCATTGTATGTCTTGGAATGTAAGCAGACACAGCCTGTTTAGTCTGTTGTTAACCGCGCCACCGTGTTTGGTGGCCGCGTTATTATATAATCGTCGGAGTTTGAAATTTTGCCATGCCTATTTAGCACCTCCAGGACCCCCATCCTCAAACTTTGAGAGAGAAAGGATATTTAAATCCATGTCTGACCCCAAATGTGTCTTCAAAATTTTATTTTTCAACTTCCATTCTCGTGGAATAGAAAGAGCAGATTATGTCAGGATTTGTCATCTGTTGAGCCATCAAAGTTCAAACTCCTGGTTCTTCGACTCTGCCGCCACGAGTTGGGTGAGAAAGTTGCTCAATTTATGCTAATAAATACTAATTTGGCTTCATATTTGTGAAAAACTTGTTCTGGAATGCATACCAGCATCCGAATTGTTTTTGTGATTTGTAATAACGCGGCCACTGGCAGCGATCAACGCATCAGCCTTTTCGACAGACTACAACATGCGAGGTACGAGCACCATATTGTTTTAGTGTCTGTTTATATACAACATGCGAGGTACGAGCACCATATTGTTTTAGCGTCTGTTTATAAGAGACTACAGCCTGTTCAAATCAGGCTCAAGTCATGGACCGTTGACAGTGCAATTCTTTTTGCCATTTTTCAACAAAAAAAGTGTCGGGTACATTGAGGTTGAGCTGAAGGTAAGAAAGGCGTGGAGGTGGATGGTCCATACCTGCAGGAAGTTTGCATGTTGCTTACGTACTGTGCAGGAGTTGCCTGTTCGATTCAGGCCCGAGCCATGATATAGTTGATTAAACAACTCTTTTTTCTTTCCACCAAAAGATTGTGTGGTATATTGAGGCTCAATTGAGGGGAAGGAAGGCTCGGTGGTGGATAGTCCGCATCTGCTTCTCATTATCTCTCATTATAGTTGTCGTAAGCAGGAGCAGCCTGTTCGAATCAGGCCCGGGCCATAGTATTGCACACCAGTATCTTTTTGAACTGACTGCGGGATTGCAAAACTGCTTGGTATATCGAGCTCGAAATAGAGGCCAGCAAGGCTTGGTGGTGGATGGTCACACCTGCAAAAAATTTGCCAATTTATTCAAGGTTTAGCAGCCTGAGGAGCGTGTTCGAATCACGCCCGGGTCATGAGATCGCAGACGGTATTGATTTTTTTTTTGAACTGACTGCGGAACTGACTGCGGAACTGCAAAACTGCTTGAGATATCTAGATCGAAATAGAGGATAGCAAGGCTCGGTGGTGGATGGTCTACGCCTGCAAAAAATGACGCTAGATCAATAATGCTTTCGCAGGAGGAGCGTGTTCAAATCACGCCCGGGCCATGAAATCGCAGATGATATTTTTTTTTCAGTCTGAACTGACTGCGGAACTGCAAAATTGCTTGGGATATCGAGCTCGAAATAGAGGTCAGCAAGGCTCGGTGGTGGATGGTCTACACCTGCAAAAATTCAGGCAGAAGGAAATAATTGATTTAGCAGGAGAAGCGTGTTCGAATCACGCCCGGGTCATGAGATCGCAGATGGTACTAATTTTTTTATTGAACTGGCTGCGGAACTGCAAAACTGCTTGGGATATCGAGCTCGAAATGAAGGACAGCAAGGCTTGGTGGTGGATGGTCTACACCTGCAAAAATTCGGGCAGATGGAAATAATTGATTTAGCAGGAGGAGTGTGTTCGAATCACGCCCGGGTCATGAGATCGCAGACGGTATTGATTTTTTTTTTTGAACTGACTGCGGAACTGCAAAATTGCTTGGTATATCGAGCTCGAAATCAAGAACAGCAAGGCTCGGTGGTTGATGGTCTACACCTGCAAGAATTGAGACAGACCGAATAAGGTTGATTTAGCAGGAGGAGCGTGTTCGAATCACGCCCGAGCCGTATTTTGTGATACTTGATTTTTCGACTTACTTTTTCTTACTTTTTTTTCTCATAAAATTTTGAACAGGAGTCTTACCTACTTCTTTTGACTCTAAGATAGCCTCAGACTGTCCAGACAGCCAGAATCTAGATAGCTTAGAAGACGCCATGAACTCGGATTTTGGCAGCAGACAATGTCAAATAAAATGCCCAAATGACCCTGCCGACGTCGGAATCGGTCCAGATGGCACCCCGAATTTTGTGAGGCAAAGTGAGAGTCGGCGGCGGCGGCGGTGTCAGGGAAGGTTTTGTACAACAGGTCCAAATACGTTCCTCGCGCTCCTCTCATGAATGTGTTCAGCTTCTTGGTGTACTCGTTATTCGCGGCCGCGGGGAGAGTCGGAAAAGAGAGCAAGCCAAGGTGACACGAGAAGGAGCAAGAAGACGCGTCAGGTCGATCGATAGGTTTGACAGGCGTGCTCAGTGCAAATAAATAATATAATAATTCGTCAAGCAGACTGGTTCTCTGCGCGCCGCCATGACCCTTGCCGTCCTCCGCGCTCTGCATGCCATCCTCGGCGACGCTATCCACGACATCGAGACCGTCTATGCCCATGCTCAGCCCGAGGACCCTCCACCGACCCACAAGAAGACAAACTCGTTTTCTCGCGCGTATGCTAGCCCACCGCCGTCCCCATCCTCCTCCTCGACGAATACCAGTCTTTTCTCTGGCCCCGGTCTCGACTTTCCTTCCTTAGACGCCCCGTACGACCCCGCCTCGCCCGGAGAGCAGCTCACAGCCCATCCGACGGTGGTGGCCGCGATAAACCGCATCGTCGCGGCGGCGGGGCAGATGGCCGCGACCGTGCAGGTGCCGTTCCTCACGCTGTGCGACGCGGGCATGGGGTACCACCTCCCGAGCTGTCTGCGGCTCCTCGAGGCCGCGCACGTCGTCGAGGTGCTGCGCGACGGGCCCGTGCATGTCCGCGAGATCGCGAAGCGCACGGGCGTGGAGCAGGCGAAGCTTGGTGGGTCCACTCCTCTTTTTTCTTCGCGTTTCTTTGTGCTAATGAGATGGCTACGACGCGCAGCACATATCCTCCGCCTGCTCGCGACGCACCATATCCTGCGCGAGGCCGCGCCGGACGTCTTTGCCGCCAACCGTATCAGCTCCCTCATCGACTCGGGCAAGCCCCTGCACGCGCTCGTCGCAAAGTGCGTCCATCTCTTCCTTCCTCAGTCGCTCTATTTTCTTGGTCTATTTTTTCGCGTGTATATATTTTTTTTCCATCCCATCCTCCGTCCTCCATCCTCTCCTTCCCGAACTCGCCCGTGGTCCAACCCAACCCACCCCGTGTCTGCTCTTCCTGCCCTGCCCCGCTCTGTCCCGTCCTGTCCCCAATGTGGCACGCACGCGTTATCTCGCACTTGACAGGCTTCCTTTACGCTCTGCCTTCCCCTTCGCCTTCGCCTTCCTTGATCCTTTCTCGGAACCTTCTCGCCCTTCTTCCCCCTCCTTCCTTGGGTGACGCGTTTACGCTTTTTGGCAACTTCTTGACGCGTTTGTGTAAACTTCGTGACGCTTTTCGGACTTGACTATTTTTCGAGCCGGGCTTATCGGGTGCCCCCCTGCGGTTCTGGGGGCCGGCTCCGCGCGCGTCGCGCCCATCCTAAGTACCGTGTTCCGAGATTTGTTTTCATTTCCTTCTTCTCTCTTTTTTTTTCTTTGGGAATTTTTTTTCTCCTTTTCCCGCTTTATTCTACAAAACGCACCGCTAACCTCTTTTTTAAAACAGCCCAGAGCGCAAGTACGACGGCGACGCGAGTGCGGTGGCTGCGTTTGTTGGGTTGTGGTGGGTGTCTTTCTTTTCTCTCTGTTTTTTTTTCCCCGGCCTTTCTTTTGTCTTGCTTCTCTTTGATTTGGCTTTCGCTGGATTTTTGCGGCCTTTTGATTCGCTGGATTTCTTTCGACGTGGTCCCTCATTTCCTAACCGTTGGCATTACCTTCGCTTTCGCGCTCTTTTTTTTCTTTCTTTTTTTTTTTTTCGACGTGTGCCTTGCTTGGGAGGTATATGCGCGTCCCATTCTTTTTCTTTGCTTGGTTTGCTTATGCCCTGCTTATTTTTATTCGCGCATATACCCACCTTGGGTACACGCGCGTCATTCGCGTCAGAATCGCTCTCTCTACATTACTTTCCTCGTGCGCGTCCGTGCTGGCGGGCTCGATGCTTTTCTTTCATCTCCTCGTCGCGGGCACCTATAATTCTTTTTCCCCCGGATTATGCGCACTCGTGTCTTCATTTACCCCTACCAGATCATTTGTTTCTTTTTCTGTATACTCTCGGGACATCGAGTTCGACGTCGACATCGATATTCCGCGCATATATCCACATTTCGTGCCCGACTTTATTTTCAGGGACCAAATGACGCGCATATATCCATGTTTTCTTTCCTTCTTTCTTTCTTTCTTACCCACCAGTTGTTTTGACCCTTCGGCCAACCCGTCATCCCTACCCTCTCCTTATCCACCTACTCACCTCTTCTCTTCCTCTTCTCTTTATAAAAATACTGACTTTTTTTTTTACAGCACCGACGAGCTCTTCAAATCCAGCGCCTACCTCACCGAGGCCGTCTTCCCCGGCGCCGCGCGGCTCTACCCCACGGGTTCGGGTTCAGGTTCGGGTTCAGGATCGGGCTCGCGCGCAGCCTCGCTCCCGTCTCCTCTCAGCGCGAGTACGGGTAGCAGCGGCAGTCTGAGTGCGAGCACAAACAGCCTCAACGCCAGCACAAGCAGCACCACGAGCACAAGCACGAACACGAGCGGCGCCGACCCCACGCGCGCGCCGTTCAACTACGCGTTCGGGTGTGGCGGCGTTGGGTATTTCGCGTGGTTGGAGGGGGAGGGGTGGGGCGGGCGGGGCGGCGACACGAAGCCTGTCGCGACGAACCGTGGCGACACGAACTCAAACCGTGGCGACACGAACCCAAACCGCGGCGACAAGAACCCGAACCCGAACCCGAACCCGAACCGCTTCCGGCTGGAGCGTTTCGGGAAGGCGATGGCGGGGACGGGGAGCTGGGAGGCGCCGGGGGCGGTGTTGCATGGTGTGTACTCTAACTGCCTTTCTTCCTACTTTTAATCTCGTTGCGTACTGCGTACTGAGTGCTGACGGTTTTTGTTCTACGCAGGCTTTGACTGGGCGGCGCTCCCGCGCGACAGCGTGGTCGTGGACGTGGGTGGCGGGATCGGCTCGACGAGCATGCTGCTGGCGAGCGCGTATGCGGAGGTGGATGCGGATGGTGCGTGGTTCTTCCTTCTTCCTTTGCGTTTTTCCTTCCTGTCCTTCTTTTCCTTGCCATCTCTATCTTACCCTCTTCCCCGCTTCTGCCCCTCTATTTATCTCTCACTTGTCCACTTCCACGTTTCCTTTCTCAAGTGCGCACGGTAACGGACTCTACAGGCAGCGGCGGTCTGCGCTTCGTGATCCAGGACCGGCCGGTGGTGGTCGAGATGGGGGAGAAGGTGCGTACCTGCGTTCCTCAGCCGTCTTTGAAGGATGGTGGGCTGATGTACAAATTTTGCAGGCATGGCGCGCGAAGTGCCCGGAACTGCTCGACTCGGGCGCAGTGAGGTTTCAGGGTGCGTAGAGCTTTGCCATCCCACTTCTCCCCGCTCATAGGACAAATGCTGATATCACGACCCCAGTGCACGACTTCTTCACCCCACAGCCCGTCACAGACGCGTCGGTCTTTCTCCTCCGCGTGGTGCTGCACGACTGGCCCGACGCGTTCGCGCAGCGCATCTTGCTCCGTCTGCGTGAGGCTGCCGCGCCACACACGAGGCTTGTCCTTGCGGACTTTGTTCTGCCGCTTGCGTGTGTGGATGATTTTGGGGTGGGGGAGGGTGGCGCCGGCTCGAGCACGGAGACGGACAACCTGAAGGAGAAGGAGCCGCAGGTGGAGGGCGCGGAGAAGATGCTCGCGCCTGCGCCGCTGCTCGCGAACTTGGGCAAAGCTAGCGCGAATGCGTATTGGATGGATCTTACGGTAGGACCCTGTTCTCATTTTTCCCTCCCACGAAGCCTGTGCTAATGCGTGTCTTCAGATGCAAGTGACGTTCAACGGACAGGAGCGCACACTGCGCGAGACCGTCGCGCTCGCGCTGTCAGCGGGCTGGAAGGTTGTGCGCGTCACCAAGGCGCCTGGCTCACTCTTCGGGCATATCGTCGCCGTGCCCGTCGCAGTGCCTGTCCCGCCGCAGCGCCGCGCGCGCGCGGGCAGTGGCTCCGCATTCTTCGATATCGGCCCTGGTGGAGGCGCGCAGAGGGCGCACGCGGAGGCCGGGGAGATGGAAATGGTCGAGCGCGCGAGCAGCCGCTGCGGGACGCCGACATTCGGCTCGCGCGTCGACCTGCCGTCCGTCGCGGAGGCGCGTGCGCGGTTCGGCCCCAGTGTCGGTGTCG